TATGTGTGTTGTGATGGTGTGCGGAGAGAATATAAGATATTTTTAAGTTTAACGTGTTTTTTTTGGGTTCCAATAATTTAAATCTAATTTGATTTATAAAAATAAATACATATTTTGTGATATACGTTTTATCAGATAACACATGTAAATCAATAGATCTTTATAAAAAAGATTATATTAATAATTATTTTTTTACTATTTTTAAATATAATCTATAATTATATCTATTAAAAAAAAAAATAAAAATAAACTGATTATATAAAAGATTTTTTGAGTAATAAATTTTAACTTTTGTTTTTTTGTTGTTGTTGTTATTTAATTATTGTTATTCTTAATATATACATATATTATTTTTATTATTTTATTTTAAATTCTCTTTATTCTATTTTCTTTTTTCTTTTTCTTTTTTCTATTTTCTATTTTCTATTTTTTTTTTTTAAAATTATTAGGGTTTGTTAATTGTTTTGTATTGTATTAATTTTATTTTCTATTTATTGATTATTATAAAAAGTATTTTGTGGGTATATTTTCAATGTTGTAGATAGTTTTTTTTATTGTTTTTATTTTTTTAAGTTTATATAAATTTCTATAAAATTTTTTAAAATAAAAAATACTTGTACTCAAGCGGTTTTATTGAATAGCTTTTCACACAAAAACATTTATCCTTCTTTATGATTAAAAAATCTTTTTAAACTACACAATAGAAAAACAACATGTTGGAGGTACTATCCTCTATAGTTATTGTTTTTGGGTTTGTTTTAATTTTTTTAATTTTTTTTTTATATGCAATAATTATTTTTTTAACTATTTAATTAACATTGAGGACAATGAATTATTAAATGAAAGTTTTTTTTTTTGAAAATCTATTAAGAAATAAAAATTATTGAAGAAGCTGGACAAGTTTGCGCAAATTTGTTGCATAAAAAAAATTTTGTTTTTTTAAAATTATGAATTCCTTCAAAACTCAAAAAAAAAAAAAAAAAAAAAAAAAAAACTAAAAAAAAACTGAAAAAAACTGAAATTTTTTTTTTTTTTTTTTACATAAATTTTTTGGGAAACCACCAAATTTGGTTGTTTTACTTTTATCACCAAATTTGGGGTTGTTTTTGGGGTTTTTTTCAATTTTTTTAATTTTTTTTTTATATGTAATAATTTTTTTTTTTAACTATTTTATTAATAATTCAATGTCCTCGATGTTATTATTTCTAATTTCTGGAATAACAAATAATTAAAAATGCACCTATACACTATATCATAATATTTTGATAATATTTCAAAATAAAAAGTTCCTTAATGTTTAGAATTATATCTTAAAGAATTGCTTGTCATTATCAATTGGTATACTAATTTGTTTTTCCGAGCCATATACGACCACTGTGGTTGCACTCATATGATTTTAATGAATTCTATTTTATTGCTATTATCAGGTCTATTATTAAAATAACTTTTAAAAATATCTTTTGCCAAAGGTGAAACAATGTCTTAAAATTCTTGGAGTATCTACAGTTTTTTTTCAATAATTCTTATATAATTATTCATTGTAACCCATTTAATTATTTAATCACTAAACTACAACTGTACATACCATTGATTCATATTATCTATATGAAAATTCCTTATTAATTTAACAGTTTTATTAAATTTTTAAGAAAAATAAAATATTTTTAAATTATCAAAAACAACAATAGGATCTATTTTGTGATATAAATTTAAACGCCATCAAATAAATTTTTTCTCTTTTCCTTTTAAGTTGCCCAGTATGATTGTTCCTGAGTACAACGTAAACACTTTAAGGGTTAATAAATAAATAAATAATAAAAAATAAATTAAAAATTTTATAAAAAATAATTAAATTTTATTGAAATTTATTGTAATTTATTAGAAAAATAAAATTGAGATAAAAATTGAAATTAATAAAATTAATACTGGTGATAATTGATAAATAGAATTTGAATTGTTTGGTTTTGTATAATTAAAATTTGAATATGTTGGTTCTTTTGTTGGTAATGGTTGGCCATAATAACCTGGTCTATCAATTGGTGGTATTAGTTTTTCATTTGCAGCATCATGCATAAAATAGTAGATAGTTCTTTCATTACCTTGTTCTAAATGTTCCGATATATTTAAATTTAATTTATCATTTTTTAAAATGATACGTTCATTAAATATATCATAAAGAATTGATGAATTTGATTTATTTGAAAAGAATAAGCAATTTTGAGTTGATGCGAATTGGTGCTGAATTACATGAGTTAATATCATATCATTTGTAAATAAAAACTGTTGTTCTTCAGTTGTAATGTTGTATTTATATACTATTAAACTATTATTTGAAGGATGATTACCACATATTAATATTGAATCATTATATCCTAATATTCCAATAATATCTGTATAATTTAATATTGGTACTTTGATTTGATTTAATCGAATTAAATTGATTGAAAATTTGAAACACTCGGTGCCAATCCCACCAAAATATTCAATACATTCAAACTTATTCATACCAACATTTACTTGACCATTTACATCCAATAAATAATAATAATAAATATTTAAATTTATATCTGTTGCTGTGAATGAACATTCTAAATTTGTTTTATTGATACTATTTGAGGTATTTTGAATTAAATAATAACTATCTTGCCTCATTTCTGGATTAATAACAACAAAGTTATTATTTGAATCTATTGATAAACATGCAAATTTAATATATCCTATATATTCTGTATAAACTTTGCAATGGTATAATTTGGGTAAATTTAAATGCTGATATTCATCTGTATAGCCTATATAATACATTTTTATTATTTGATAATCATCAAAACCTTGATAAAGTAATTCACCTGAGATAGGATGGAAAAGTGGTGGTAATTCATTTCTTTTGTAAATATTAATCTAATTAAATAAATTTTTAATAGTTTTATTAGTTAAAGGTTAATATGAATTAATTAGTATTTACTTACATTCTCAAATACACCAAAAAATGTTATTGGATTATAAATATCATCTAATTGTCTTGATACATTATAATTAAAAAACAATAATGGTTTTGAAAATGAATTTTCTTTTAATTTATTTGAATAAATTGTTAGATTACATTGTTTAATTTGATAGTTACAATCATTAATAAAGCTTGAAAAATTAATTCTTTCAATATCTATTTCTCTACCTATACATTTTTCAATAAAAGAAAATAAACAAATAAATTGTATAAAACAAAAAAATAGTTTTTCTTTTTTCATTTTTTTTTTTTAATAATTATTTGGTTTGAGAAAAAAAAAATTTATTGTTTATAAAAAATAAAACACATAAAAATTTTTTTTTTTTAACACACAAAGAATTTTTATTAATTTTTAAATTTTATCTCAATACCACAACTTTTTTTTTTTTCAATAATTCTTAAATCTTTTTAATAATTTATATATTTAAAAAATAATAATTTATTATTTAAAAAATAAAAAATATTAAATAAAAGCAAATACATAACCTTATGCGTTATTAAATTATATTTTTTTCTTTTTTTTTTATTTATTTTGAAATATTTAACAATTAAATATTTAAAATAAATAAATGAATGAATGAAAATAAATAAATTTTTTTTATTCATTGAACATAAATATAAGGGGGTGTCTCGACAAAAAAAAATTAAAAAATGAAATTTTTTTTTTTTTTTTTTATATATAAAAAAAAATGATGCACATAAAATTAAAATTAAAAAAATAAAAAAAAATTTAAAAAAAAATTAAAAAAAAAAAATTGTAATTTTTTATTGATTTTTTTAAAATTTAAAATTATTAATGAAAAAGATAATTTGGATTGTACGTAAGGTTTTATTTTGCCATAGTTTGTTGATAGGTATAGGTCATACTTTTAAGGTGCAAAACTTTGTCCATTATGAGTCCCATTGTTGGGGTGATTACTGTATTTAAGACCCCAACACACTGGGAGTTGGTAATAAATGGTACAAAAACATCAGCATGGAAAGTGTAAGACATCTCGGAAATTGTTGATTTGCCTTGGCTATCAAATGATTGTGAGGCAAAATCATTAAAATTATGAGGTCCATTTCCTTTTTTAATTGCCCATGGAAAGCTCTGATAAAATGAAAAAAGAGAGGTTTCATCATTGGACATTGAAGAAATTACTGACCATTTGTCCATTTTTACAGTTCTAGAAAACGATTGACCCCAAGAGTGTTCATAACCAAGACCAATACCAATTTTTGAAGTTCCAACGCTCCCAAAAGCTTTGAAAGTATCAGAGTTATAGGAAGAAGATTCGACAATGTTTTCATTATTAATTGTTTTGGGAGAAACAAGAGGGAACACCAAATCTGAAGTGTACCCTTCATTTTGGCACACTAATGAATGTTGGATATCGTAGTTTGTTAAAAACCAGCCAGTTACAAATCTTCCTGCTTTTTTCTTAATTTCAAATCGATGACTCTCGGAGATAAAAACCATTTTATGAGTATTGTTATATTGAAATACATAATAACTATTTGATAAAGATTTTTCAACATAATCTTTAAATAGATCCATTTTATTTGTATCCACACTTTTAATCTTATAATTACTAACTGTTATATAACTTGGAATATTTGTTTCATTAAAAATATATGTTGCTTTTACCAACATACCAAAATATAAATATATTATTATTAAATATATGATTTTCATTTTATTGGTTATTAGAATAATAATAAATTATTTTATTAAAATAATTTTTATAACTGTTACACAAAATAATTAATATTTTACAAAAAAAAAACAAAAAACAAAAAAAATTAATAAACACTTTTCAAATGTGTGGTATTTAAAATTATATTTTTTCAAATTACAAAAATTTAAAAAATAATAATTTCTCTTCAGTACATACGATTTTACTAGCATTTACACACACCACCACCAACCACATTTTTTTCATTTTAATGAAAAAAAATAAAATTGAATGCAAATATTTTTACAAAACAACCATATGGGGTCAAACTAACAATAAAAAATTCAAAAAAGAAATACTTTTTTTATGAGAGCTCATATCATCTAAAATATTAAACATTTATTTTTCCATACTCATTTTTTTATTGTGCTATTGCCTATGAACACATTTTTATCACATTCACCAATAACACCTAGTTTTTACTCTCCAACTCCTATTTTACTAACACATATAAATAAAATATTTAATTTATGAGAAAAAAAAATACACTTATTAAAAAAAACAAAAATTAATTAAAAATAAAAAAATTATTTATTAAAATTTATTATAGCTATCTAAAAAAGGAGGTTGTTTTACAATATCATAATAAAGGGTGTAATATTGATTGTATTCTACATTCCAACCATTTTGAACTAAATAGCATTTTGGGGCATCATCTTTGTGAATTTTCAAGCATAATGAATATCCATTGGAATCTTTTCTTTTAATTGAAGTTTGTTTATCTTTATCTAGCTCTTTCCAATCTTCTGGGTCATGATCGCCATATGAACTTGAAATATAACTTATTTTTTGGCCACATTTGTTTTTTAAGGAAATATCCTATTAAAATATAATGTGTATATAATAATAAATATATTTATTATTAGTATATACTTTTTTCTATATTTTTTTTTAAATTAAAAGTTTTAATTTGAAAAATAATATTTACACATTTAGAATTCTTTAATAATAGTAATAATAGTATTAATAAAAAAATATATGATTTTTTCATTTTTTTGTTTCAACATATAATATATTAAAAATATAATTTTATGAATAATGTTGTAATAATTAATTTTTTTTTTTTTAAAATTACTTTTTATTTATTTGTTAAATTTATTGTAAATTAAAATTATTTCTAGAAAACAATTTTTTGCCGGGATGCTTACCACATCATTACACACTAACACACACTCACTTGCACGTTCTCAAATAAATTTAATTTTTCAAATAAAAATAATTGTAATATTTAATCAATTAACACCATACCACCAACAAAATTTTCAAAATAAAAATTATAATTTCTGAATTATACAAAATTTATTTATTCAAATTTATATAATGAAATCTATATATTTTTTTATTATTTTCTTAGTATTTTTAGATTTTCTAAATGTTTGTATTATTAAAAAAGAATAAAAACTATTGTTATCATTTATTGTTTTGTGATGTGTGTTTTTTAAGATTTATAAACAAATTTTATAAAAATAAATAATTTTTATAATTTTAAAAACTAACATTTTTTTTTTCTCATTTTTTTAAAGATGTCTTATTCTTCTGATAGTGTTGATAAAAGTATTGTAATTACCAATGTCTCATCAAAAAAAGTTAAAGCATGTATCGGAAGATTCAATGATAAGCAGATGTCTAAATTTTACGACATAGATTCTTACAAACAAGAGATTTGGGAACGTGATCAGGAAAAAATGCATGTGGTTAATATAGTCTCTGAAAACCCAACTTTTGATTTTAATATTCTTGTTGAAGCAAGAGAAAGAATTATTATCGAGGATTTTGAAAAAAATTGTCTTTTAATTTATTTTTTTTCAAAGAGCGGGCAGAGAAGAGCATACCAATGTTGTCAAGAAAATCGTAGTTGTGATCAATTATTTAGGGAATTAATAAAACTAAATTATTAATAAATTGAAATTAACAAAATAAATCAATATTTTTTTAAAAAATAAATAAATAAAAAATAAAATATAGACACCTCGAACCACTTTTTTTTTTTTTATATTTAATTTTTTATTTTTTTGCACATAAAAAAAAAAAAGTGGTTCGGGGTGGAGTTTAAAATTACTTTGTCCTTATTTTTTGTTTTAAAGTGCCCGAGGAAAATATGTAGAACCCCTGATGTTTTTATTTATGTGTTATATATTGATTAGTTTGGATAGTTTTTTTAAAAAATATTGACACAGCCCAAAAATAATAAATAATGGTAATAAAAAAAAGTGGGGAAATAGGGGTAAAAAAAAAAAATCAAAAAAATCTATTATAATTTTATCTTTTTTTTAATTTTCGAAATTTTAAAAATTTTTTTATATCATTTTAAATTTTTTCAAATAGAAAATGGTGCAAATATAATTGCTAGAAAATAAACTAAATGATATTAAGTGATGAACTTTAATACTCAATATTATCATACAAAAATAGAGATCATTACTCAAATAGTAAAATTATTATAATATAATTTAACAATATTATTTATTATCTATATGAAAATTCCTTATTAATTTAACAGTTTTATTAAATTTTTAAGAAAAATAAAATATTTTTAAATTATCAAAAACAACTATTTTGTGATATAAATTTAAACTCTTTCAAATAAATTTTTTCTCTTTACCTTTTAAGCTGCCCAGTATTATTGTTTACTTTATATCTTAAAGTAATGGTGTCATCGAAAATCTTTTAATTCTAGCAAATACATTTCTGACAATTATCCTGATTGATTTTTGAATAATATCTTGTTGTTTTTTATTTTGATGTTTTTTCAAAGGTAGCTTATGGTTTGAAATAACAAATTAGCATACCAATTAATAAAGATATTAGAAATTTATTTTATAGTTGTAAATAAAGTAAATCAGCTTAAACCTTATTGGTTTATTGTAAAAGTGGAAAGGTATTTCAGATTGGCTTTCCTTTAGGTGTTTGTAAAATGATATTGTGTTATTGAAGTAGGTGGTAAAAATAAGATATTAAACAAAATAAAATTCAAAATGTATTTTCTAAAATTAAAAGATTTTCGACAAGCAATATTTTAAGATATAAATTTAAACAGGAAATTCCTTAGATAATGTTTTAAAAAGATATCATACAATATAATGTAAAATTGTATTTTTTGTTAATTGTTATTTAGGGATTAGAAATAATAACATCGATGTTACAATGAATAATTATATTAAAAATTTAATATGCAAAAAAAAATTAAAAAAAACCAAAACTGCCAAACTATTCAAAAATCATCAAAAAATAATATTAATTAGCTATATGATATAGCCTGTATCAATAAATTATTGGTAGTGATATTTAATTTATTAAATATCAATATGATGCAAAAAATTATATAATAATTACTAATTATTAATTAGTGAATAAAAATTGAAAAAATTTTTTTTAAAAAAACAATTCACAAAGTAAATTTTTATTTTTTTGTATTTTTTTAATTTTAATAATCTTCTACTGTGACATCTCTTCCCTTGATGGTAATTCTATTATTTTTTGGGCTAACCAAATAGCAACCAATATTATAATTAGAGTTAACTCTATAACATAGTGAGTAGAATTTAAATTCTTTAGGGAAACTGTTTACACTTTTATCATTTAATGTTGTCCATACCATGTCTTTTCTATCATCCCATTGACTAAAAATGACCTCTCCTTTTGTAATGTCATTGGTTTTTTGAAAATCAATACTAATCTGGAATCGTGATAAAGGAATTTGTTTCAAATATTAGTATATATATTTAAAAAATAAAAATTAATGTTTTTTATTTACTTACATCTCTAGAATTTATAAAACCAATTAATATAGAGATACATAAAAATATTAAAATAAATTTCATGTTTGCAGCTATAATTTGAATATAATTATATAAAAAAAAAATACATGGAATTAAATGTAAATAATTATAATATTAATTATATTATATTTTTCATACAAAAAATATTGGGGAGTTTGTGTGTTAGTGTGTTAGTGTGTTAGTGTGTTAGTGTGTTAGTGTGTTAGTGTGTTAGTGTGTTAGTGTGTTAGTGTGTTAGTGTTAGTGTGTTGGTGCTTAAATGGGATACATTTTTATCCGAGCTGAAGATAAAATAATTGTTAAATAGTTTAAACTACAAAATTTTTTATTTTCACTGTGACTAACCAATTTTGAAAAAAAAAAAATTATTATTATTATTATTATTATTATTATTATTATAATTATTAAACAAAAGATTAAAGAAAAATAAAAAATTTTAATGTATAGAAAGTTAGTTATTCTATTGTTTGTTTTTGTTTATGGTGTAAGTTTTAACATCAATATGTGCTGGATAAATTTCAAATAATATTAATTTTAAAATTTTAATTTTATTAAAAGGTGCTTGGAATAGTAGTTGATAACATTTTAGAGAAAACAGTAGAAGTCTCTCTAAGCTCATTCACCAAAAATGGACAAACCAAATCTTTTTATATATCACCAGGCAAAAATGAAATATTTGCAAGGGATGAAAATTTGAAAAATGTGTTGGTGGTCAAATCAATAGAAGAAAATATATATGAAGGAATATTAGTCGGTAAGGATTGTCAAGTTTTAATTTACAAAGAAAATGGAAGACATTATTTATACTCATATGATCCAATTAAAGGTGATCAAGTTTTGGTTAAAGTTGGTGAAGTAAAAAACAAACGTATTGAAATAAATCAATTGGTTTCATTTTCATGAAAAAATATTCAAATGATTTACATATTATTTTTAAATAAAAAAATTATATAAAAAACAGTTATTAAATAAAGAACAATATTTAAATTTAAAAATATATAAAAAAAATAAATTTAAAAAAAATTTTTTCTTTTAAATATTTAGTGGTTGAAAATTATCTTAAGCGTTATCTTTTTTGTATCACTTGGAAGATTTTAAGTAATAAAAAAAAAAAAAAAAGGATAATATAAAATATTTTTTTTTTTGAAATTTAAAAAAAACATTTGCTTTTAAAAAAAAAAGAAAGAAAAACGAAAGATTAAAAAGCATTGTGTAAAAAATAATTTAAAAATAAAAAAAAGATGAAAATGTGAAGAAAAATATGTTTTTTTAAAATGATTATATATATTAATTTTATATTATATTTTTAGATTAATGGTGACGTACGAAAAAATAAAAACAACAATGATTGGTGAGACAAAGATTTTATATTCAATTTTGACAAAGATTTTATATTCAATTGCTTTATTTTTGTATAATTTTTTTGTAAAAAATAAATAATATAAACACATCAAAATACCTCATTTATTACAAAACACTTTTTTTTTTTAAAAAAAAATTAAAATTTTTTTTTCCCGAACAGATTTCCGAAAAATTATTGTAAAAGCCCAACAGATCTGGATTACAGTTAAAAAAAAAATAAATAAAAATAAAAAAAATGTTTAAAAAAAATTAAAAAAATTTTTAAAAAAAAAAATTAAAAGGCGGAAAAGAGAAAAATTGTGATGGGTGAGTTTGTGCTGTTATTTTGTAAATTTTAAAAATCTATAAAAATAATTTTTTAAAAAAAGAGATAACTTTTAAAAAAAATTTTTAAATGAATAAGCTACCGATAATGGGTAAAAATGAGAATAAAGATAATTTTAATTCTCTATAAATATTAAAAAGAACCTTTTCGGGTGCTAAGTTGTTAAATACAGATAACCCTTCAAAACTGGGGAGGGATAGAACAGAGCAATGTGTTTTTTAAAAGAATGGCAATTTTTTAGGATAGACATTTTTAAAAACTCTGGATTTAACGATTATTATAATATATCAAAAATGAAATGATTAAATTAAAAATAAATTTTACTTAATATTTTAATTTTTTTTTTTTTATGAATTTTCTCTATTTTTTTTTTTTTGTTTTTCTAAAGCTTCATTGTTTTTAAAAAAAGTAAAAAATAGGTGCTGTTGGGGGTATCAGTTGGGTAAAAATATTTTTTTTTTTTTTTTTTTTTCAGGCAAACTAAAACTAATTATAATCCCTATGGAATTTAATTATCTAGATGTTTACATTTGCCCAGCAAAACACATAACCCCACTACATTTTTTTTACAACTTTTTAAAATTTTATTGAAAATTATTTTTATATTGATTATTATTATTAATTTTATTTTTATTTTTTTTTTAATTTTTATTTTATTTTATTTATTTTTTATTATATTTTTGTATTAAACTTTTAATTATATATATTATAAATTTATAGTTTGTTATGTTTTAAATACTAAAACTAAAAACTTTTTTTATTAAATATTTAAATATAAAAAAATAAAAAAATGAATATTAAATTATATATTTGTGTATCATTTTGGTTTTTACTTCACATTATTTCAAGTTATTCCTATCCATTCAATGAACTAGAACTTGATAAGTACCCAAAGTTATCTTATCATGAGTACGAACCGAATGAATTTAGTATGGATAACTCTGATGGTTTTTATGGTAATTTAAAAATAAAAGGTTTAACAGAAGTATATGGATTCGGTTCTAATGATTGTTATCAAAATTCAAGTAAGGTAAATGTTTATGCTTGTCAAGGTATATCAGTTGGTGTTTCCAATATGGAGTACAAGGCTGAAAAACATGTGGGATGGTTTTTAGTTGGTTTAAGAGTTAATCATAAATTAGAATATATCGATTGTAATACAGATATGGCACCTAGTATTAGTTTAATTACATCAAATACCCAACCATCAACTGCTGAAAACTCTGAAAGTTCAAAAACTACAATTAATGAATCTAGTGAAACAATTGGCATAGAAGCTGATGCAGATTACACTTTTGGATCAGGTGTATTTGGTGGTGGTATTGATGGTTCTTACTCCAAAACATATAAAAAAACTTTTAAATATCAATCTTATATCAAAGATTGGTCCATTATTAACCACAGTCATATGGATACTGTCTCAGATTTTATATTTGACCAATCTATGCCTTGGGGATTAAGACTGCCAGGAAAAGATGAAGGAAGAAACTCTTCAAATTTTTCTTCTTGGAAAGATTATACAACGGGAAAGGTTGGGGATGATAAAAAACTTTTACCTTTACCAGATTTAAGTGTATCCATTTATAATCAAAAACTATTTGTTCCATTTACAATTGATATTAAGAATAAAGCTGGATTAAATGGGGAATTTTTAACAAGTAGGCCATGTACAACAGTAGTATTAAAAACAACTATTACACCTACAGTTGCAATGATCATCAATATTGGGGAATCCGATAGTAGATTGTATCTTAAAACAAGCAAACATCAATTCTCTCAATTTATTGATTTAGATAAAGTTAATTTAAAAACAAAAGAAGATCAAATTAAAAGGGAAGAAAAAAGAACAATAGCATTAGAAAAATCAGCTACTACCAGCACAAAAACAATGAATACAAATCAATCAAAGGCAAGAATATAAAAAAATAAAAAAATTATTAATATAAAAAATAAAAAAAAAAATTTAATTATCCTTTTATTATTATTATTTTAGGAAATTATTTATTTTATTTTTTATTTTTTTAAAATTTAACTTTCAGTATTTAAAATTACTTTAAATACTTTATCATAATGGTCAATTAATTTCATCGATACATTTAAATATTTGAATTTGCTATAATCAAAATTGAATGTATTCACAATATGCAGATAAATCAGCAAGTGTTGGACCAAATGTTGAATTAATTGATTCACCTGTTTTTGGATTTAAATAATCTTCATGAAAAAAACGATGAAATAGTTTTCCATTATTTGTATCATGATGCCAATCTAAATATTAATTTAAATAATAAAATTGATTATTTGAAGCAGTCACTATAAAGATATAAAAAAAAAAAGAATTAATTTTTTTTTAAACATTGTGTTTAATACATACACAAAAGATGTTTTAATGTTCCATCCATTCAAATAGAAAACCTGGTCGAAATGGTACTATATTGAAATTGAAAAAAAAAAAAATATTAAAATGATGATAATTTATTTTAATTAAAAATATTATATTTAATACATACAAAAAATATTTAATTTGTGATGTTTGGGCTTTGAATTAATAGAATACCTTGTCGGAAAGGAACATGTAAATTCTTAAAAACCTTGTCTGAACGGAACATGTAGATTCTTAAAAACCCAGTCAGAATAGCCAAAACGGAACATGTATAAAATTAATATGGGAAAATGAAATTTTTCTAAGTCTTTTACCATATTAATTTTATATGAGAGATTGAAATTTTTTTAAGTCTTTTACCATATAAAATTAATATGAGAGATGAAAATATTTCTAAGTAAGAACCAAGTAAGAACGGAGCATGTAAAGAGATTTTGTTGAAGCTTTAGATTTCTAGATTTTCTATTATAAATTGAATTAATATTTTTAATTACAACTCTGAAATTAATTTTAAAATTTTATTTACCATTTAACTAATATTTGAATGTAAGTTTTTATTTAAAATATTACATTAATTTAATCTATAAAATTTATAAAGATTTATTATTCTAATACCTACCTTATTTCTTAAGTAAGAAGTAATTTCTTTCTTTTGTAAGGAAAAAAAAAAAATTTTATAAATTTTTATAAATCTCTCATATAAAATTAATATGGTATTTTTTTTTTTTTATTTTTTTATTTTTATTACACAATTAAAAAAAAATTGGTAAAATAAAAATAAAAAAATTAATATTAAATTAAATAAAAAATTTTGGTTAATTCAAAATAATCAAAAAAAAAAAAAAAAAAAATTTATTATTTTAAAAAATAAAAAATAAAAAAAAAATTTTGAAAAAAAAAATTTAAATTTTTTCTTTTTTTATTAAATTAAATGGATAGATGAGGAAAAAAAGGCGATGAAGAAAAAAAAAAAAAAA